CCTAAAAACATTTCACCTTGGTCGGATGTATAGTTTGCGAGATCATTCCCGGACAAAAAAGTACCCAGGAAGAAGAAGAAGAAGAAAAATAATAATAATAAGAAACAGAGTAAAAACAATATGTTCCCCAACTTCGTTTGGGGAACATAATAATAAGAAACAGAGTAAAAACAATATGTTCCCCAACTTCGTTTGGGGAACATAATAAGAAACAGAGTAAAAACAATATGTTCCCCAACTTCGTTTGGGGAACATAACTACTGTAATTGATTAATGCTGGAAAGCATGGTTATATGTAAAGGTTACATAAATACGATTCAACTGCATACAGCATAGGCTTTGAAGAAGACAGCTGAAAATATGATAACTGCAAGAAATTTGGAATCGTAACGGTTATGACTGACATTCAGAATATGTTTAACAGTTTCTTGGGTGTGCCAGAACATCAAAGATTGTTGGAAACGAGGGATAAATAAAGCCCCATGTATATGCTTAAATGACTCAAAAAACTTGACGGCGATATATGAATGGCGACAGGCGCGGATTCAGAAAGTTTTTCCCAGGGATGAGGGGTTCACATCAAAAACATTTGTAAAAAAGTAAAACACTTTCTCAATCCTGAAATATGAGAGGACACTTGCATAAGTCTATGCTCTGTTTTTGTAGGAGGAAACCCACTGGATAGGGGGGGGGGGGATTATGATCAGATATGTATTTGGCCAGTACATCCTCTTAAGAGGTTTTTGTTCATTTCAATGGTAAAGGTAATGTTGGGAAAAAAAGGGGGTAGGGCCCCCCTGTTGCTACGTTCCTGTGTCCGTATAAGAAGTAGTACGAAATAAATACCTGCTAGCAAAATCCTAAAAGAAATCAATACATTAATGTATTGTATCAGCAATATGGTTATTTTTCTGCTAACTGTTGTTGCTGAAACGCATGTAATAAAATCCGATGAAAATCAGCATGCACAGAATTTTGTTGGCTAACTGTGACCTCTTCGCTTCGCACATAGGAAATATTGATCCTTAGTAGTGCCTGACCCCGTGACGTCAGGCAACAAATTTTTCGGCCATGATTTTAACTCTTTTTTCCGTTTGCCCTATAATGACAGTCGCCGGTCGAGACCGGTATACAGGGGAGGATAACTCTTCCAGATTCATGGCACCTGAACCCATGTCATGTTTTAGAGGTCCGTGTTTGTTCTGCTCCCATTATGTATCATTTCACTCAAGACTTTTGAGTTTGATTACTTACTCCATATTTCATGAGTGATTTCTTGGTCTCATGTATATATAATAAACGTACTTGCTAAGGATACACAAGTCTTGAACAATTGCAAAAAAATATGCATTTGTGATTAAAAAATAAATTAGAGTTGCATCTGATGTGTTTGTCCGTAATATATCAGGTGATTCTCATACATCTAGATGCATGTAGATGGAAATAAGTACTTGAAACCTACATTTTTAATTGCCTCTCTTTTTATCAACCGAAATAAATTTTGAGCAACATATAGAAAAAAGATCTATCAATAACCATATGGAGTGTTCAATCAGAGTTCAGCTTTCTAACACTAATATATTGAAGAGTAGATTAACTTCTATTAAAATAAATCTTTTTCAAAAGAAAAAAGCTATCAATTATTCAGGAAGCATTATCGCTATTTTATACAAACATAAGCAGCACTGTATACCAGCACTTTAGAACAAAAATGATCAATATACGTTAACAAAACTGAATTTTAACCTATCGTTTAAAGGAAAACAAAAAGGTTTATTTAATATTTTCCATGAATTTAAGTACACTTGTACAGTGCATAAAAGTTTAATTGATGCAAAGCATCAAATCGGCCGCAAACACATATAATTTTAGCATTTTATGGAATTTTTGCAAAAATAAATTCAAAGGAAAAAAATTACTGGTATATCAAAGCCTTTTTTTCTTATAGTTGTTTTTTTTTTTTCGTGAAGCATTACTATGTTATTGTACCTCCTAAGAAAAACGGTCATGAATGTTACAATTTAACAAGGCATTTCAAACTAAATGAAAAAAAAATTCCTATGGCTGCTTTAAAATCTGACCAGCTAGGGTCAGTCAAACAAACCAAGGGCATTTAAACCATAAATGTTTCGTACAAATGATTCCTGCAGAACATACACCAAATACGCCCATCTTCTTTATAAATGCTTTGATAGTGTCATTTGCAACTGTAATTTTTAATGTATTCTAAACAAAATTTACTTCCTCTTAAAAACTTGTAAAATTTATGTCATTTTAGGTATCGTAATTTTTACCCGGAAACTAAATACTTTTTGCTTCTATATCTTATGCACGCCCACCTTGGGGAGCAGTTTATGCAGCAACTTTTTATAAGATAATTTAATGAATACCTGCTGAAAAATGAAAAACAAATTAGACCCCTTATAACAACCATTAGGAGAAGGCTTCCACATCGGGTTAAAGAAAAAAGACGGATCTAGGTGTCGGGTGTCAAGAAACTGGTCGAAATTGAATCCATTTCCATTTTTGTTCCTTTGCAAGAAATACATGTATTAAATTGTGCACATATTTTTTCCCATTTAAATTGTTGCTTAGAGATAGAACTTAGAACGTATGCGTCTACGCTTTAACAGATAATACATGATTCTGGTCTGGATAAATATCAAATCAAATCTGAATAAAATAAATTAATTGTTCTTAAAATTTATTTTTGTTTCAGATTTTTTGTTTTGACCGAGCCAATAAAAAACACGTTTCCGGTAGCATGCCAAAAATGGTATTTGTAATTTGCTGCAATCTTTCACATTCATTAGGATATTCTACATTCTAACAGAAAGAAAATTATTAAAATTTATAATTTTATGAAATTTATCATAGGCGTCGTAACCGGGGGGCTGGCGGGGGGGCTTAGCTTAGCCCCCCACTTTGCAAATATATAAAGATAGATATGTAATTTTTGTTCTCAGGATGTAGTAGAAGACGAGTACCACTTTTAATTAAATTGTACAGAATATTCCAATTACAGATCAGATTTATTTTCTAGTATTAAAAGTAACCCAACTTTTTCTATGTCAAATTTAGATAGTGTAATTTTCCTTTTAACAAATTTCCTAAGCAGACCTCAAAATATCTATATACCTTTCATACATGCACAGGCAATCTCTACTGTACAAAATACGCTATGCGTAATCTTTGTTTAAATATTTTTCATTTAATTTTGTTAAAAGTGACATATAGGTCCGATGGGCTGGGTGTTTGGATAATAAATGTTGTATTAAATGATTCTTCTTGTACTGTATAACACATGTCACTAAAATAAAAGATTTACTTACTTACTTACTTATACACATAATATAGGCATTGAAAAATGGGGTTTTAACCTTTTTTAGTTAGTTTAGCCCCCCCCCCCCAACACACACACACTCACACTTTCAATTACCTCCCCCCACTTTCTTTTTATATATATATAATTCTTTATTTTTGTTTTTCATAATCTGTTATTTCATACAATAAGTGATTAATAACACATACAGAAGGTGATTTTTTTCATTTTAGAGAGAGAGAGAGGGGGGGGGGGAGATCGAGGAGGGAAGAGGAGAGAGAAAGCTAGGGAGGGGGAGAGAAGAGAAAGGAGTGCATGTATCCATAATATTTATATCAATCTAAAAATTAGTTGAAATAAAAGCTTCCCACAGTTCCAGCAGGTATCAAACATATCCTTTTCACCATTTTTGTATGCAACATATTTTTTAGTTTCATAAAATGTCTTCATAAGCGATATTGCAGCAGGTACATTAAGTGTCTTCCCTGTGCACCTCATTGTGTAGATATAATATTTAAGTCATAGAACAAGATTATTTTGTATCTTTTTCCTCTTATCTAAGAATCCAAAAATGAAATTATTTTTTGTTACTGATATCTACGGAAGCGTATGAGGGCCGCAGCAGTATCATTTTTTTTTAATTTGTTTTAACAAATTAGTAATTTATTTAAACAAATTATTAATTTGTTTAAACAAATTATTATTTTGTCTAAACAAATTAGTAATTTGCTTAAACAAATTAATAATTTGTTATAACACATTAGTAATTTGGTATAACAGATTAATTACTAATTTGTTATAACAGATTACTAATTTATTATAACTGATTAAAGATTGATAATTTGATATTACAGATTACATGTATTAATTTTGATATAACAGATTAATAATTTGATATAACAGATAGATAATTTGTTATAACGGATTATTTATTTGTTAAAACAAATTATTAATTTGATATAACAAATTAGTAGGCTAATCTATAATAAAACAAATTAGTATTTTGATAAAACAAAGTACAATTTTTGACAAAATTTGAAATGTATATACAGATCTACGAAAGCCAGGCCAAATCATCAAAAATCTTAGTATAAGTCGGATTTCTGAAAATAATTTGCAACTGTCAAAGGCTTTGGCCAATAATAAGGCTTTAGTGGGACTGTTGAGAGCTTTTCCAGCAGGCCCTTATTTTTATTATAAAAATTTCACGCATAATAATCATTAATTTAACCAGAGACATGTAAAACCATTGGTTTTATAAGTCTAGCTCTGATTTAACTAGTTAAAACAAATTTTTAAAAAGATGTACTGCTGCGGCCCTGATACGCTTCCATACCTAATCGACGCGAGAGAATTTAAGGAAAAACTTGTTTACTGGTATGTTTTATTAAAAATTGTCCTGTCAAATGGTTAAAATTCAGTACGCACAGGCATCGCCCGGGAAAAAATTGAAGTGGGGGGGGGGGCTGTGTGGGGGCTAAACCAACAAAAAAAGGTAAACCACAGTTTTCAATGCCTATATATAATGTAACGTGTATATTTGAAAAAAAAGTGGGGGCAAAGCCCTCCCCCCCTCCCTAGGTTCCCACGCCTATGATACGAGTATTTTCAATTCTCTGTATTTTTTATACGACAAGCTTGTCACTGACCAGGATTGTTGACCTAGATCTATATTTTTGTAAACACGATGTTTGTGGATGATACAGATGCATCTTGCAGAAGATTTCTACCTTAAATAATGAATCATGATGCAGAATGGAAACAATGCATTGAAGAAAGAACTTTGATGACCTGAATTTTTTTCTTGAACATGGGAGACTCAGAAAGTGATAGTGAAAATGGAACTGAAGAAAGAGTAAGTGTTTGAATTATTTTGCAGATCGAATTTCCTCTGTAAGATCAGCTGACTGGTCGTATTCTCACAGTTTGTTATTATTGATGTTGTAAATATTATTTTTATAGGTGTTACCAGCTAAAGACGTGTACCTGTTAATGAAGAAAGATTACAGAATATCGAGGAACATAAGAGCATCATGGTTTTTTCATCACATCAACTCAGTATTAGAATTTTCACCAGAATCATGTGTGGTGAGTGGATTACCTCAATGGCTACACTTTGTAGAATAATGGTCCTTGGTTCATACATTTCCCTTTTTGAATACAACTTCATCAAATTATGTAGTTAAAATGTTGATATAGATATATACAAAATTAATGTACAATTATCCCACACAAGTGGCATGAAAACAATTGGTATTCCTCTCCTTCTTGCTTTTTCCCTTTCTGGAGTGAAAACTTTGGGGTTTAATGCTCCAGTAATTCCATGGTGAATGACGGAAAAAACATAATTATGTACATTTAAAAAGGGTTATAATTAAAAGTAGATAATTTAAGTGCTGTAAGTTCTCATTTATGTACCAGGAGATTCAGTTGTCAAAATCATTTTATGAAATATACATTAATTTAAAATACAGTTATAAGGAAGTGCCAAAGATGGGCGATTTTGCTTCATTATAAATGTAATTTGTTATGATATCTGTTAGATAAACAATTTGCTAACAACCCATGGGGAATAAAAAGCACTTTGCTTTAAGCATTAATTAAGGAATGTTTTTAGTTTACACGAAAATGGTATTCAAGTCAATTTCACAGTTGGCTTAGTAGAAAAACACAGTGAATGTATATATTTCTTTACAGGCATGTTCACTATAAGCACATTTTACTGCAAATATAGTAAAGACTGAAATAAATTTGATATGTCCATTTTTTAAGGAGGAGACCAACAAAGAGCTAACAGTGGTGGGGGTGGTGATGGAGGAGGAGGCAGTGGTCCATTTTGGGACTGACGATTCCCCCAATGCCTCCCCACCACCACAGACTGAGCGGGCCTCTATCAGTTTCCGCCTGGTGCCCTCCACTGTCGTCCATTTCATCGCCAAGAGATACAGACTTGTCTTTGTGTTAGACTTCAGCCCCTCAGCTCTCTCTGTGGTACATCTTTGTTTTATATTTTTCACATTTTAATGTCAAAGTTAAACAATATTTACAATTTAATTTACTGAAGTAAAAAAATTTGTAAAGTTTGTTTGAATTCACTGAATGAAAATTGAAAAAGAGTACAGTAAACTGCACATATGAAAGTCAAAGTGTTATCTAACAAATAAATTGATGATTTATTACATCCAAATATGGAAATGCTAAACTCAAAGATTTCTATTTCAAATCATTTCATTTTTGACTTGAAGTCTATTAGCTGATAAAAGGCTGCATTTCATTTCCGGAATTTTGGGTAATTATCAATTTTTCATTTCCGACATTTTTTATTTTTCATTTCCGACATTTTTTTATTTTCATTTCCGACATTTTTCAAATACATATGTAGTACTTTTGGTAACATATTTGAGTACTTTACTTATGAAAAAATTAAAGAAAAAATTCATAAATAAATCATTGAAATCCTTTATCTGAGTTTTGAAAGTCTATCAATGACTTTGACAGTGGTGTTGTTGTCATTGACATTAAATTTAGTGCACATTAGATGTGGTGAAAAAGTTTATGCTCATTAAACTCTTTTACCTAGATTTATTGCCACATGTATGTATATATGTGTAGATGTTTTTTATTAATTTTTTTTCTTTTATCAATATTTTGTAATAAATACTTTTAAAATTCCATTTTCACTTACCTAGAAAACATTGAATTGCCGCACAGGTAAATTCCAGAAATGAAAACAAAATTATGTCGGAAATGAAAACAAAAAATGTCGGAAATGAAATTAAAAAATGTCGGAAATGCTATGCATATTTCCGGAAATGAAATGCAGCGTGATAAAACTACCTTGAAATTAATTCATAATTGTTTTTTAAGGACTTGAAAACTGGAGAAGTGTTTGCAGACAAGATTTTTGACAGCTTGAAGAAATGTTTGCTTGGATTGGTGAAACCAGTAAGGAACTTTTTTTTTGATAAACATATTACTTAATGATTTCCTTTCATCTTCATTTAGTGAATGAATGTTTTAACTTTGGGATCATGGGTTCCTGATTTGATAAGATAGATTATATGATAGATTTTATAGATTCGTTTAATTAAAATATGCACATTTTACAAGTGATTCCCTCTGTTGACAGTTTCCACTTCCTGGGACAAACCTACTGTTTGAGTCAGAACTGTTTATCACTGTTATAGCCCACACCCCTATGGTGGTCTGTACCACTAACCAGGTATGTAACATTTTATAAAGAAGGCAATCAGCTGGCATTTTTTAGTCATACTCATCCTCAACCTAAACGGTTGAAGCTGAGTATGACTATAACAGTCAGTTTTCTGTACATTTTTTTTTTCAGCTTTTAAATTTGAAGACTGGTATAAAATAATGCCAAATCAAAATATGAAACAATATTAAAAACATGTAAGCTTTTGACAACTCTTGATCAATATAATTATGAGATGCCAAAGGAATGTGAGCTTTCATTCTAATAAGATGTTATTCATATTGACAGGTTTTAGTTCAGGGCATTAGAGTGACTGCTGCCAATGTTGCTGTGGTGTTAGATGCGGTGAGAACCAGTCTACAGGTGTTTGAGCAGAGTTTGTACAACGACATCAACCTGCCCACTCCAGATATGGTAAGATCTTTCATTCTATGCCATGAAATAAAGCTTAAGGATATAAATCTTCTAAAATTATTGATTCCTACTTGACATGCCTTAGGTAAAAGATTAATACACAGAGACAGCATAAAACTAGGAAAAATTCTATGAAGTATGTACCTGATAGACAAAAAGTAGCATCTGAATACGATGAATTCTGTATTACAATAAATTAAGAGATAGGAAATATATAACATGAAAGTTTGTTCAGGGAGGAGCAATGCTTAAATCAGCACCTACCAATTTTTAAAGATTTTTTAAAGTACCTCCAAAATAGCAATAGGTTTGGGATATCACTGAGCCCTTGATCCCTCATTGTGACAAATTTTTTCTTTCATCAATAGACAAATCTTGGAGACAGTTTATCGAGGATGGAGCTTTCAAACCCAGATCAGAAACCTCGCACCAGGAACAAGTCGGCTGAGTTGGCCATTAATCCTGAGGCTGGCATCATTAACTTACTCAGACAGGGGTTCTTTGCTCTACAGTTACTGCCCGAGAACTCTAGTGCAGGTACAGTAGGTCTTGTGGCTATGGGTTCTTACTTAAAAGAAGACATTAACTCTACCCTATAGGCAGAAGTCTACTGCTGTTTTACTCCATCTCCTGCATACGGTACTGTTTTTCAAGAAAATTCATTTATGCTCACTATGGTAGCTAATTTGGAATCAACATAATTATTAAACCATAGACTAAGCTTAAGAAATGTGACTGAAAGCTGCAAATAATTATGCCAAAAACAAAGGGAGGCTCCAAATACAGTCCTATAGAACTCCATTTCATCATGATGTTTTATGCTGAAAAGCAAGGCTGTTTTTGATGGTCAACATCTCAGCAATGTTTAGTGCTCATTTATCTTTTTCTCTTGCAGGAATAGTTGTTGTGACTGATGGGATGCTGGGAGTGACAGATTTGAATCTATTTGACACTCTGCTGGCCCAGCTGAGGAGTAGCACCATAGCGTGCTCATTTCTCAGGATTGGACAAACTCAGTGTGCTCGCTGCTCCTTTGGGCTGGTTCCTCATGTGGAATTGTTACAGTTCATTTCATCGACCACATTCGGAACATACATAGGAGATCCTCCTGATGAGGTACGTTCTTAAATTAATAAAGGAAAAAAACATATAAACATGACAGTATCATATTTGGCAGGGGGATCAAAGTTCATGGATTTCTTACCCATGAATTTACATCCCCTTGATCAATAACTTGTATCAATTTGTCAGTCCAGTTAATTTTTCTTGCAAACTAATTTTGCCCCCACAAAGTAATAAAAATTATTTGCTTGCAACATTAATCCTCCACAAAATCATTCAAAGTGAATCTGCAATATTCTCAACAATTTTATTTCTTATGAATGAAACATGGAGCAAAGTCTTATCAACTTGCAGCAATTGTTTATTTGGAGTGGTGATTTAAGAATGGGTGATTACATTCCAGAAAGAAGATTACCACAGGAAGCTGCTGATCTGGAGTTTCCAGAAATCTATCAGGGAACCTCTACATGTTCTACCTGGCTACAACAACAGTGCATGTTCTTATATCAAGTAAGAATATCATCTCATACACCGTAGGTGATAGAATCAAATGGAGGAAGTTTGCCCTTAACTCTGTAAAAGTTTTTTTCCCCAAACCCAACAGTGTTTTGCAAATATTAAATATACTCTGTTTGTGAGAATAATATAATTATAATTTTTTTTATGTTTGTCCACTTAATAAAAAAATTTACCATGCCATGTTATTTGCTCTTTACTGTAATGATAATAAAAATATACCCTTACTGCAATTTAAAACACTGTGACAAATTTCCATGGGTAAAAAAATGGAATGTTCATAGCAAAAATTAATCCCATGCATAAAAAGCCTGCCTACAGAATGTTATCATATTGCATGTTTTTTTTTTACAGTGTGTATGCACATCCCCTTAAAGATTACCCAGACCTGATTCCCATTGAGAGGAAGAGGCAGATGGATGTAAAACTGAACACCTCTCTCTCCAGTGTTCTGTCTATCAGGCTTAGAGAGGGCTTCACTCTAAGGAATATCATCTTCTTAAGAGGTAAAGGAAGAATCTCTCCATATGTTCTCTCTCTTCATGCTCTCTGCTTTGTCAGAAATGGAATGATTCAAGTTTAGAAATAAAGGTATGATAAATTCTATTAATTGCTTTTAAGTATATGAGTTCCTTAGTCAGGAAATTATTATTTTATTAAAAAGATCTAAAAATGAAGCTTGAAATCTTTTCAGATAAGAAGTTCAGAGACAGTTTTTGAGCATTTTCATTCTTTTAACTGCAGATTTTCAGAACTTTAAAATCAAATGCCTAAAGAGGTATAATCTAATGATCAAAGATACAATTTTTACCCTCATTCCCACTGAGTGCAACTCCAAAGATGATATTGTTATCAATTAAACATGTTATTCTCAGTGTAAAGATGAACATTTATAAAGATTTTACATAGGATTCGGTGATCAGATACTTTTATTTAAAATTTTCACATGTGGGAGCAAAAGCCATATATGGAAGATAATTTTAACAGAAGATTAATATTTGTGCAGGAGAAACTCAGATTAAGGTGGAGCTGGCCTTGTTATGGAGAGACTATGTCAAGATAGAGTATTGTGCCACTGCTGCCTGGCCACAGGATAAATCAAGGTGACTAAATCTGAAATTGAAATGTGAAATTGTGGAAAAAGTGAAAGTTGACAAAAGTTTGATAGAGATTGGAAGAAAATTCAAGATAGTTACATGTAATCAGGTTAATTCAATGTTTAAAAAAAAGTTTGGAGAAATTTCAGTGATGAAGAGTAAATAAGAATAGAAAAGATTCATGGACGTTTTGGATAGATAAAATTGTAATAGGGATTTCAGATGTGTCAAGCTAAATATAACGTTCCACAGAAAGTTACCAGCACAGGATACTTATTTTTTTTCTCTTTTTTTTTTTTTTGTTTTGGCAGACAACACCAGACACATGTTGAAATGTTTGTGGAAGGGAGCTATGAATTCCTACACGATGCTTTCTCCAATGAATGTACTCTGACAATGTCCAGGTGGAGTCCCATCCGACTCAACCGAAGAAAGAAATTCCTATTAGCACTAACTAAGTCAGTATCTAATATCTCAAAACTTTCTATAAATCTCAAATACATGTATATCAGGTATATCATATAGATTTATTCAAGCCAATATGATTAGAATACTCAAGTAAGGCCATAATAAATAAATTGCTAGATTCTCATCCGAATTTTTTTAAAAGTGCTTTGGATGTCGGGCACTTATTCTTTAAGGTTATCTTTTTTATTTTTTCAAACTTGCAGAAATTTTTTATCGATGACCTGGCCAATCGGTGTAATTTTATCTAATTTTACCCTATGAAAAAGTCATAGTAAAGTCATTTTCAATGAAAAATTAATAAAAACACATAAATCACCAATCTTTTTCAACCAATGACCCTTGTTTAATATATATAAAATGTATTACAGCAATTACCATCTTTTTAGCCATCAAATTTATATAGATATCCGGGATTTAAAACGAAAGTAAATTGAATGACATGAACATACCCGATACATAATTAAGACTAAAAAAAAACAGAAAAAAAAAAATTGATTATGGTATAAAATGGGGCTAGCACTAAAAAATTAGTCTGAAGTATTTTTATTATGGCCTAACACATTTTCAAAACATACCTAGAATATCTGAAATATTAAATATTATTTTTTCTCAGCTTATAAAGTTTCGCTGTTTGACATATTTGCCTGAACATGTAATTTAAATGTGGAAATATGCATTAAGTATTATCATCCTAATGTACCTTTATCAAATATATCTGCACAGCAAACAACATGCACATGTCTTTATTTACAGTTATGTATTTATATTAAAATATTTCAGACTTCGTCAGAGTGACGTGTTACTGAGTCATCTTCAGGGCTTTGCTTCCAATCCTGTAAATTACAAGTTACCGGACAGTATAAAGAATGGCCTCTCTGTGTTCTACATACCCCTCCAGTCTAGTACCCCAACCCTCAACTCTCAACACAACACAAAGTTTGTCTTCTACTATATTGGTTAAATTCGTATTGAATCTTCGTTGTGTGTTAAAAATGTTTTCATTTCACTCCGCAAAATGTTAAATTTTTTTTTAAACTGTTTAATGAGGGAATACCTTCATGTTAAATGTTGTTGTGAATTTTCTTTCATTTTTCCACAGGGATGCTGTTTTAAATCAGTTTGTCACATTCTGGAAACCAGTGGTTCATTTGGACACAAAAATTTGGTAAGAAATGTTTCAGAAACAAGGTTACCACAGAGTGGACATCCATCCCAAAAGAGCACATCAAATCTTATAAAAAAGTTGTGTAATTTCTTTAATACGAGGGTTGTCCCGTAAAATCGTGGACTAGTTGTATAGTGTAAAAAATAAACATCACTGCGTTCTGAAATTTTCACTATTATTTAGTACATATTTTAGTAATATACACAACAAATTTCAGATAAATATATGCATAAATAAACAAATTATGAGATTTTATGCCATGTATTGTTTCGGCTTACGGCGCATGGATTATAACATCAAAGTGTCTAAAACAGTGTCACGTTTTATCTTTGCTGAGAATGAAGTTGGATGAGTTCGACTTAAATTTAGGAATTTCATTGATACACATTCTTTAGTCTCCATAAACAGTCGAAGAACCAATTGGCAACCTCATGCGATCTTCTGAAGATTTATCAGTAAGTTATGGACAATATTCTCACCATCATTCAACTAATAGAAAATCTCATATCGGCGGTCTACTGTGACAGCGTCTTTTGCCATTACATTAGGAGTTTGTCCGTATGTTTTGTACTCCCCAGGGACTCGATCAAAAAAGAATTCGCTAAGAAAACTACTATTTCATTTGTATACTTAAGATATTGTGATATTTTTATAATCTTTTTTCTTCTATGGTCATTTCAAGTCTCTAAAGGTGTCATTACAACATCGAATTAAAATGGAACTGCTCTCTGGTGCGCCGTAACGTCATAAAACGTCGCCATTTTTCTTGTGTTGTGTTTACCACTTTCCCATTGCGAATGCTCCAGAAACTGCCAAAATTTAACCAAATGCCTTAAAATTTTTACAAAGACTACAAAATTGATTGTGGAATTGAATTAGGATAATTTTAATCCAAATCTTATATATTTTAAACTTTTATTTTGAATTCAAACTTGCGTATTCTTTAATAAAACCTTGGTTTTTTGTCCGTGCGCCGTAGGACAATACCCCGTGTGCATTCAAGCATAATAAAATCTTTATTTTTGCCTATATTTTATCAAAACAATTATCATGCACTTAAATATGATAAATAAACATTTACTGAAATTTTCAGCTTAGTGCGCCCATTACTTTTCGAGAAAAACGCTTTGTCCACGATTTTAAGGGACAACTCTCGTACACAAGCATGCACTCAACCAAAGAGACAAAACTCTTTATATCCCCTCCAACAGTGCTGTTAGGGGTATTTTGTGTAATTTTTCCTTAGAAACTTAACTAATTTTTATAATAAGAACATCTAAAAGTTATCACTAAACTAACATATACATATAGTTCAAGCATCAAAGTAAAAAAAAAAACCGACATTTTGACTTGCAGGCAGAAGTGGATGCACAGTCACCGGATAGGTATGGTGCTGGAACATGACCGCCCCTTGTCTAAGTACCTACACATCCCCGACTCCTGTGGGAGGTTCTACTTTGTCTTCTGTCGACAAGCTCAGCTGGCCCTACAAACCCTCCTCCAGAGCTGGAGTACATTTGTACTGGTGGAAAACACTGCTTATGTCAAGTATTTGTATGAGTAAGTACAATGTATGTACTTGTGTTTTGTAAATTTGTTGCTCAGGTCTCTTATTAGCTCACCTGAGCCTTCAGCTCAAGTGAACTTTTCTGATCACATTTTGTCAGTCGTCTGTCTGTTAACTTTTCACATTTTCGACTTCTTCTCATGAACCAATGGGCCAATTTTAACCAAACTTGGTACAAAGCATCCTTGGGTGAAAGGGGAGTTTATATTATTAAAATGAAGGGCCAAGTCCCATTACAATGGGAGATAATCAAGAAAAGACAAAAATAGGGTGGGGTCATTAAAAAATCTTCTTCTCTAGAACCACTGAGCCAGGAAAGCTGAAACTTATGTGGAAGCATCCTTTGGTAGTGTAGATTTTTAATTGTTAAAAAACTTAAGTGGAAGTTTTACATAAAAATATATAGAAAAAATATTTTAAAATCTTCTTCTCAAGATCCACTGGGCCAGGATAGCTGAAATTTATGTGGAAGCATCCTTGGATAATGTAGATTTTAAATTGTTAAAATCATGACCCCCTGGGGGTAGGGTGGGACCACAATAGGGAATCTAAGTTTAACATAGAAATATATAGAAAAAATCTTTAAAAATCTTTTTCTCAGGAACCACTGGGCCAGGAAAGGAAAGCTGGGGCCACAACAGGGAAACTAGAAATATATAGAAAAAATCTTTAAAAAAGAACCACTGGGCCAGGAAAGCTGAAACTGGGGTAGTGTAAATTTTGAATTGTTAAAATCATGACACCCGCGGTTAGGTCGGGGCCACAATAGGGAATCCCATGTTTTACATAGAAATATATAGAAAAAATATTTATGAATCTTCTTCTCAAAAACTATTGAGCCAGGAAAGCTGAAACTTATGTGGAAGCATCCTGGGGTAGTATAGATTTGAAAAGTATTAAAATCAATACAGGGGAGGGGAGTAGGGGGCCAAGATAGGTATAACAAGAGGGGGATCTGGTAAAGAACTGCATCACCCATGTTACTCAGGTGAGCGATGTGGCCCCTGGGCCTCTTGTTTAGGAAAGTATGAAAACAATTTTCTGAGGTAACTTATTGTTTAATGTCTGTTGTGTGAAATTTTGGATGTTTGTCATTTGCTTTCCTTAAACTAAAGAACATTTCCTTACTAATTGCTGGCTTTATTGCAACAAAACTTGTCTAAAAATGTCCTTGGTTAAGGATATTTCAAAAGGGTGCAGGGCAGGGACTCCAATTTAGTAACAGTAGTCTTTCTTTTAATAAAGTATTCTGAAGGAACAAGAATTTAGAAGTTCATCCAATGTTTCAAATGCTATGCATAGTTAATAATAATTTTAATAAAGTCATATAACCTTTGGTTTATGAATGAAATGGTCATTTCAGGGGAGAGTCTCAAAGTTCTAAAGAGCATCCCACCCATTTCCTGCTTTTGAGATTGTCCACTTCCAAAGCTCCCTGCATGACAATCAAAGCGGCTTTCCTGGGAGGAGCCTCAGGTTCCATGAGATACAAAGTGCTGAAGGAACTCAAAACAAAAGTATTTGCCCTGAAGTTTAAACAAGGAGGTTCCCAGATAGAGAAGAGCAAGAAATCTCCAAAACAGGAGAAAGAGACAATGGTTAAGAGGAAGCCACCCCTAAGCAGGGATTGGTCAGAGACGCCATGCTGCATCATGTTGACCAAACCCATGGAAAATATTCTTATCAGGTACTGTTAACCACATATTATTCATGATAAGTTTTCTTTACAATTTGTCAGTTTGAAATATATCTGCAATGACCGATTTTTGTGATTTAGGAATTATCCTTGACCTTCATAAATGTACAGTGAAATAAATAGTTCACAACAAGAGATATTTTTTTTGTAAAAGAAAGTTGCAAAACCTGTTAGAATTTGTAGCTTGGAAATGAAACTTAATTTACATTTATATTCTTTTGAGTCTATAATGTGAGAAAAATTAATTTGATTTAGCTAGTTTGTGTTGAAAATGTAATGAAAACTGAAGAATTTTTTTTTTAAAAGAATATCATTCATATCCCCTTTAATGATTGAAAAATAAAAGAAATGTAACTACAGGATGGAAAAATATACTTGTATATTACATGTATGTTTGTGGAAATGAATAATTTATAAATTTTTTCCTCTGTCTAGTTATGAGCGGGTACCTAGTGACATGACAATATTAGAGGATCCCTCTCGTTACTTCCCTAGTCACATGACAGCACAACAAATCGCCAACAAGACGGTGCTGGCAAATGCCTTCAACACATTGTCTCGTTACCTGTATCATCAGCGCTGGATTTGGACCATCAGACAAGGAAAGGTGGACATCAGTATGCAAGCTGTGGGCAAAATTCTCTCCACGCTCACCAAGTAAGTCAAACTGCAAACTACTACTCAGGCAGTTGTGCAATTCATTAAAATGCCACATAGTTTGTTAACATCTTGGCAAATATACCTCTTTGTCTTGGTTTGATTTTCTATCTTTGGACTGTAATTTCAGATTGAGACTACACTAGATGTGTAAATACAGACGTGTAAATTAGATGTAGAAATACTGCCTTTATGTAGCATGCAAAACAGTAAATCTTTTGTGCAATAAAAACAATCAGTGAAAATACACTCTGCCTGTAAAAATGCATGATTTGTCCCAAGGAGATCAAGTATATTAATAATCAGTAATGGAAAATCACCTAGAATTAACAAATTATTTGTATAGCAAACATAATTGTCTGTCCTTAGTAAGTTGCTAGTGATTCACTGTCCATGTAAATATTTTGTAGAATAAGGCTTCAGGAAGGATTCCATTTTGCCTCCAGTAATTCAGGAATTGTCAACATGGTGCTAGAAACAGATATGAGGGTACAAGTATTTAGTCGACAATTGAAAATTTAGTACATTTTGTCATTGATAAAAGAGAATATAGTTGTTTTTGTATGCAACCTGTCAGTAATGCCAAAAGATATTCTTTTTGAACATACATACACATACATGTAAATACACAATCTGATTCAAATCAGATCTTTGTTACGCTCCAAAATTATGATAGTGGTTGTACAGCGACTATCAGAATTTAAGAGCGTAACAAAGATCTGATTTGAATCAGATTGAATCAGATTGGTAAATATGGTGGATGCAGGTGCACACACTGACAGTTATGAATTATTGATATCTAAGTTTTATGAAAGAAAATTTTTATCAAAATTTCTGCAGTTGAAAAATTTGAAATTTGTGTTACTTATTCCGTATTTTGTTTCAGCACAAGTCAGAGACAGTCAGTTCTGGGACAGATGTCAGTAGATGTGTGGTACAATACGTGATATTCCCCCCACAAGTCAAAACTTCATGTACAAGGTTAGTAAGAACAATTTTATTTTTTTTTTACGTGTAATTCACTGTAAGAATTCTAATATACACCAAAAATATATGATTTATTGTGCAGATAAATGTTATATAAAGTAAATGGCTTCTTAATCCTTTTACTTTGAAAAATAAATGAAGATTATTGATAAATCTTTAGTTTTGACCCAAGTCCTTCATCAAGGCAGTCAAAATTTATTTTTTTATACCGTATAAGTGGAAATTTTAGCGAGACGCAAATTTAGCGATTTGTCTATAAAAACTGGTATTTTATATTTAGTGAGAAGTAATTTTAGAAATTTTAAAGTGCTCACTAAAGAAGCTATAACAATAAAAATGCAGAACTTTAATTTTAAGCGATATTTAGTTTTAGCGATCTCAGTACCCTCTCTAATAATGCAAACATTAAATCCTCACTAAAAATTCTGCTTGTATATTATTAGTTTGGAGGAAAACACCATAAAATTATAAATTAATGAAGAATCTGGTACACTATAATCAGGAATGAAAGTTAACACTGTAATGCTAAATTCCTACTATATTCACCCTACAAAAGAATATATTATTTTCCACTAAAGATTTTCTGTAAAAAAAGAAAATAAGAGTTTGTGATTTGTTTTCATAGTGTCTCAGAAGATGACATGGATATGTTTGAGCTGACTGAAGCAGACGGCGACCTACAGATTGTGACAGAATGCTGGATAGAGCCTCAGTATGGAGTTGTTATAAATAGCACGCCAGAACGCCAGCACTGGGAGGGACTGACCTACAAACAGATTGCCAGGGCGGTGAGTATCCTGTAGGATAAATATGATAGATGCAGTAAGTTCATATATGTAAAAAAAATTTATCTCAAACAAGGATATGTCATACCGTATAAATGGAAATTTTAGCGAGACGCAAATTTAGCGATTTCTACCTAAAATCTGGCATTTCGTTTTTAGCGAGAAGTAATTTTAGCGTGTTTAAAATGCTAGCTAAAGAAGCTTTTACAAATAATATGCAATTAATTTTTAGCGATATTCAATTTTAGCAATGTCAGCACCCTCGCTAATAATGCCAAAATTAAATCCTCGCTAAAAATTCTACTTATAAGGTATACCCTAAATATGTGAAAGTGAGTCCTCAGTCTTGGCAATATTAACTAAATACAGTAAAACATACTTATATTGAAGTGACAGGGATGGATAATTTTGCTTTGATTTAAGATTGATACATTATATCTTAAATTATCAATACGTTGTATTTCCATAAGTGAACTCTTCAGAATTAGAGGCACGTTTGGTCGTCTGACTGGGACAGCATGGCGTTGCAGATAATACAAAAATTGCCAGTCTCAATCCAATTTTAAATGTTAATTGCATTTGTCATTTTAACTAAAGAATAGAAGAACTAAAAGACATATGTAAGAGAGCGAAAACCCTAACTTTATCGTCCATTAATAAAAACTAAGACATTTTCGAGGTACTGTGAAATCACTAATTTTCATGGGGGTTTAATTTTCGTTGTTTTCGTGGTATGAAGAGACCCACAAATTTATGTCCACCACGAAATGCAAATTTTTTATATGCACAACTACTAAAAAGTTCTTCATCTACGAAATCAAATCCCCATGAACCAACATTTTTCCTCAAACCACAAAAATTTGACCCCACGAAAATATGTGATTTTACAGTATGTGTATTGTCCTTAAGTGTACCATTACGATAAATAGATACATACGATCACCAATAGATATAAATTGATGTCGTTGTCATCTCTACTATTGATGTAAATAAAGTTCACAACAATAAAATATTTCATATGCATTCTGTTAGGATTTGTTTATTGACATTCAACATTTTGTTTACATGTTTATGTTACGTTTGTCCCTGAAATCCCGCGAGATTTGTAGATTCTCTGACTTTTTCACAAAAGAGCGCACTAAGAACTATAACTCTTCAATTGTGGAAAAAGAACGTATTTACAAAATATTTTAAAGTCACGGGGAATGATAATCACTTCTTTATAAGGTCAATTCATTATGTGTGTTTGCTACATGTATTCAGGTGCTTTACTTTAAATCATTTTAAAACCTTTGGATAGATGAAACACATAAAGCTTAAATACTTATCTCAAAGTGAAATTGAGGGCCAAAGACTATTTTCAGATGGACACAGCCCAAAATGTTTGTTTCTTCTCTATGGTTATCCTGTATGGTATACTTATAAAACTAACAAAACCCCTGTTTACATAGATCACCATCTACATCTGTCATTTAAAGGAAGTGCCATACTATTTGTAGGTTTGGACACAAATGCAGTTGTACATTATTCCTTGCATACCAAGGCACTTTGACTTATTTTTAGTTAATTTAATCATTTTTATGCACTTTCAAAAATTCTCTAATACCTTATCTCTAATTTTTTAAAGATTTTCATTTAAAAAAAAAAGAAGATTGTCTGTCATACAATATCTAAAAAATGACTCCATTATAAACAGAAGCCTGACTTTAAGTACATTCAGTACTTTGATTTTTGTTAAATTTTTGCTTTCTGACTACCAGTACATGAAAATTTTCTATGCAGTAACATTCAGATTACGATATTATTTTTTTTTATATAGAGAGATGCATGTGTAGATTTAAGGAATTGCAAAACATAATTTAAAAATTAGGAAATCTTCATTTACGTAGAAGTAGCTGTATTTCTATAATTTCTTATGTGTATATAGACAATACTGCACCAAGAATGTCCATGCTGCTGATATACAAAGTGACATTTTCCTTAATTGTATCTAATATATTTTTTATATATTATATAATTTTAAGGCACAATGTCGTACTTATTGGAGTGTCGTATTTTCTTGTGGATTGCGAATTGCAGTTGCTTGAAAATAGGACAAATTGTGTGTGTGACTGTGAATGCCCTCCTCCTTACAAACATTCCTGCATTCCTGAAGTCACAGTGTTGACTTTTATTTTAGGAAGTTGAGAAAGTTGATGATTTGATAGTCAAACAGAAGGTCTGCAATACCTTTGTCGTAAAAACTGAGGCACCTTGGTAAGAATTTGAGTGAAACTACAAAATTTGGAGGAATGTGATGAATGAATTTATTCATTTTGAGTGGATGCAGGATATGTCACTCATACAGTTATTTTATTTGTATGGTACGGTCATACAGTTATTTCATTTGTATGGTACATGTACAAGCATTGAGAATGGCTCCCTTGATCATTTACAAATCCCTATGCTGGCTGCAGTCAAAGAGGTTCAAATTGAAAAATTATTCAGACTTCTGTATTACTAACATTGCAGGTTTTTGAGTGTCTTTAAGAAACTTATTTGTTTGAATATATTTTGGGGATTCAAGCAGTTCAAAAAAGTAAAATTGAAAGCATTTCATTTAATGCAGTTTTCTTTGCAAATTATTGATTTCTGGAAAGAAATTTAACTTGAAGCTTTTTTTTCTGCATGAAAGTATAAAATGAAAAAATGATGTTATTTCTTGATTGCGTCTACTGAAGGGAATTTTTTTAGTGTGTAAATTCTTGATTGAGCTTGTCATTTTTTCATTGATAATTACTATGGGGAATTTCACATTTGTTTCTGCAGGTGATCTAAGATGCCAGATATACTTTTCTTCCAAGTACTGGCATTTTTATGCTGTTGTGTATTTTTTGTGTGAATTCCGAATTACGTGTCTAAATCACCAAGTTATGAATGGGATTAGATAAACCGGGTCAAAATTTGTTTCTTAATTTTATCAAACAGGAATACCTGGGTTTGTCAGGATGGACTCGTTGGATCATTTCTGTGCATAGTTTGATTGTCAAACTTCAAAATATATTTTTCTTCCTTGTAGGGTCAATATAAAAGGTAGAAGATTATGACGACTCTTAGTACTGAACACAAAGTCCTTGCAGCAAACAGAGAGAACTGTTGAGAAGGGGTAGAGAATTGAATTCAAGTCAGTTTATTGCCAATTTGATTTACAAGCAGTTCAGATATTGTTCTAATTCTCATTCCAAATCATGAAGGCAAGAGAAGCCTTTGGGCAAACAAAAGCGTTGTTGAGCATTTTAAAATGCCTCGATGTCCAAGCGATGTTAAGAAAATTAAATAAAATCATGGGGTCCCCTCTGGAAAAATATCTTGTCAAAGTAAACACTGGCCCTATTCACGTTGACATTCATACTCAGTATTGAGGTCATTGTTCACACTTTTAGATAATTAAACCTTTGACTCTTGTAATAATTAAGAAAGAAAATTATGAAAAAATAAGTATCTTGCTATATTATGGTATGTATAAAATAATAGAATACTGAGTCAGGCCTATCGTGTTCTTGCTTTTATCGTGCAAAGTCGAGTTGTAAAGCAAGGCACATTAAACATGCATAAATTAATTCATAAGCTAGCCAGCAAGTCTATTCATATCTCATTTTTAGCTATCCAAGGAGACAGATTTGGTTTAGACAAAACCTTTTTTATTATTGATTAGATTCAAAAGGCAAAATATGAAAGTAAAAACTGCCCCAAAATGTAGATGAAATGTTTTTGAGCCAAAATATCCTATAAAATTTACTGAAGGTTTACCGTAACATTGTGCCACATATTTTAACAATTTACAATTTATCAATGCTATACTTAAAATTCAACGAGGGGAGGGGGGGGGGGGGTAGAAAAAAAAATGTGTGGATTTCATTTTATTATTATGAATGTTAAAATTATTTAAATAAAATAAAGAACAATCCTATTCAAATAAAATTATGTAGATTAAAAATACAACGGTTAAAATATCTTCAAATGAATGATTATCACTGCATGTCTTTACGTCTGATTATAGAGTTTACTTGGAATTTGATGTTGACACGATTTATTAGAAAAGAAGTTTTATCAGTAAATCTGTATGTAAGTAAATTATCAGACTAGTTTTATCTAGTACTGTGCTGGATTATACTAATCAAAAATGGACCCTGAATCCTGTGACTAGCTCATCAGGTGACAAACTGCGAAGAGAGTGTTTACATTGGTTTACATATTGTGTGATTTTTATGATAGATAATTTGTCTTATGGCATGAGAGAGGTCAAGTTTCATTCACCAACTGATAATTTAATGAGAAAAAATAAACCTTGTGCACACACCCTTCTTTCATTAGAATTATGAGACAGAATGACTAGTAAACTCTAATTTCTTATTAAAGCATTTACTTATGAAAATGAGCCAGACATATATGTGCTGCAAAAAAGGCTTTTTATCATTTGACCAATGTAGAATTGCATTATAAGTGTTACTGATAAAAAAAATTGATGAAATTGATTGAATTTAGGGCATTCTTCGGGGCCGATTATAAAAAAAGGGGGTATGAAGCCTACAGATTCATAGAAATTCTGCTGTAGATTCAAGTTGCTCACATTTTTTTTTAGATCTACAGTATCTTTTAGGTAAAATTAACCAACATTGGCTTGAGGTTAAAGAAATGTTTGGGGCCCTTTTTCATTTTCTTTATCTAGAAAATGAATTTCAACATTTTCATTTAATACTCGAATACATGTAAACCAGAGAAAACTTGAGGTTTCCTCCGTTTTTGTCTAGCTGTACCTCTGTCTGTATGTTAGTCTGTCCCACTTGGTTTTCCACACTTTTTCCCCAGAAGCAATTAGAGCTGATGGTTTTTATATGAGTGAACATTGATAAGTTCTGTATCAAATATTCAGTATACTGGTATTTTGCTTCATTGTCACTTGACAGAATTTTTGCTTGAATTTCTAAGGGGGACCAGATTTTCCAATTTGATTTCCCTCACAT